AAAGTAGGGGAGCAGCCACCCACTGGCTCCTTCACCCACTTTCCAGTTCCCAGAAGAGACTCAGTGTTTCTGGGGAGTCAGGCAGCAGGTCTCGCTGCACAGGACTCAGACGGAGCCTTTAGAAGGCACACGTTTCCCTTGGGGCCGCCACGTCTCAGAGATCCACGGAAGGTCCACTTATGTGGCTGATCTTGGCCCGCTCTCCCTGGCCTCCCTCTCCTTCCATCTCCTGTCAGAGGCTATATGCGTAGAGAGTATACACGCAGCCTAATTCCACCCTCATCGTAAATTATCAGGGAAGACCCAGCACTTGACCCAGTACTTTGCACACAGTAGATACTCTATAAATATTTACTGAATAAATGAAGACTATTCTCAAATATTTAAAAAAGAAAACCCTACTGAGCCCACTGGAATTTTTTAAATTATTGATCACATCGCTCCTATTTATTTGGGTGGATAAAAGATCACTTTTAAAATTCTTTCGTATTTATTGGGGCTAACTATGTGCCGAGCATTTTACAGGTATGAGTGGGTTTCCTTTTCACAACCTGCGCGATGGGTATTTTAACCCCATTTTACAGAGAAGCAAACCCAGGCTCAAAGAGAGGTTAAGAAACATGTCCAAGGTCATAGAGCTGGGAAGCAGGGGCCACAGGATCCTAACCCAGGGCCAGCCAACTTTAAAGACGGTGCTCTTGGGGCGCCTGGGTGGCGCAGTCGGTTAAGCGTCCGACTTCAGCCAGGCCACGATCTCGCGGTCCGGGAGTTCGAGCCCCGCGTCAGGCTCTGGGCTGATGGCTCAGAGCCTGGAGCCTGTTTCCGATTCTGTGTCTTCCTCTCTCTCTGCCCCTCCCCCGTTCATGCTCTGTCTCTCTCTGTCCCAAAAATAAATAAACGTTGAAAAAAAAAATTTAAAAAAAAATAAATAAATAAAGACGGTGCTCTTTGCGGCCCACCAGGCTGCCTCTAACGGTATACAAACAGAACAGAATGGACAGAGACGGAAGGGAGGAGGGAGGCAGAGAAGTGTGCAGGAAGGTTGTTGCAGCAGCGTGGTCGGAGGCTCCCTACTGCCTTCCCCTGGGGAAGTAGTTTTGAGGCTGGGTAAGTTCTGCTGAAGAAAAGTGAAGCCAGTCACCCCCCAACCCCCACCCCATCTCTCCCCCTTTGATTGTTTGGCCGGTTCGCCCACTACCTATGCAAGCTGGCATTTCATCCAGCGCTGCCCAGCTTGGTCCTCTGAGCGTATGAAGGGCCGGGGAGCTGCCAGGACTCGTCCTGAGGACAGACCTTCCCTGCTTCCCTTCCCGTGAGGCAGAGAGGCTATGGGGCCTGGGGGGCAGGCAGGAGAGCGTCAGGAAACACAAGCCGTCTGACCTGCTGGGGATGAACACGGCTGTTGTCCCCCACCCCCTGCCTGCCTGCCTCTGCCTGACAGGTGAGCAGCTGTGCTCCACATCTGTCTGTCCATCTGTCTCCTTCTCAGGGGCCTGGAGAGAACGGATGCTCCTGGGGGTTGGGGGGGAGGCCCTGGACCAGAAGCAGCTCCCTTACTCCAGATATTAGTCAGCAGGGAATAGGAAGGGTGGGGCGGGGAGGAAAGTGTGCCTCTGTCTCCATCCCAATCCCCAACCCCCGCCCCACCGCTGCGTCCCTCTTGCTGCCCCCCACCTCCTCACCAGCCCCCCCCCCAGCTCTGCCTGCCAAGCTCTGCAAATTACCACACTTGCCAATAAGTCATTAGAAACCAGAACGGCAAATGCGGGGTTGCCATGGAGACCGATACCAGGAGCCTGGCAGCCCTGGGGGCCGGCCTGTGGCTCAGGTGTGCTGTGGGGAGAGCTGGGAGGGCCTGGCAGGGAGGAGATAACGTTATGCTATCGGGGTGCTGATTCCGGGCGTTGGTCCCCTCCTCAGGGCCCAGCCCTGCACCCCCGAAGAGCGTCAGGTCGACAGATGCTGCAGGGCTGCAGGGGGGCAGGTGAGCCTGGGCCTGGGGGGCCGGGCCCCTCCCTTCACAGAGCTGCACCTCTACCTGAGGAGGTGCCTGTGATCGGGCCAGTTGGGGACCGGCCCTAGGGCCCTAAGCACCCTGTGCGGAAGGCCTGGGTTTGGAAGAAACTGAGTTCAGGGAGGAGCCGAGGGCAGGATCAGCACTCGGGCAACGCTCTCCCACCTTCCGGAGCTTGGAACTTGCTTTTGCTTCTGCCCAGTGCTTAGCACAGCACCGCGTCTTTGCAGGTGAACACGCACACATACGTTTGTTGAAAATGGATGAGTGGACAAGGGAATGTGTGTAAGCGCCCGAGATTTCTGACAAGACGGGCGCAGGCCCTGGATCGCAGTTTGTGCGGTTCCGCTAACTCGGTGTGACCTCTGACAGAGGCCCTTCTCCTGGGCCTCAGTTTCATCGTCCGGAAAATAACCGGATTGCGTTTCACACCCAGTGTGTTTCCCACCGAGCTGTCCAGAGCGTGTGAGTTGTGAAGCGATTCCTCTGGGGTTATGGGTCAGGAGGAGGCTGAGCCCGTGGGGCTCTGGTCCACTGGCTTTGCTCCACCTACAGCCGCCTCATATTAATTTCCTGTGGCTGCTGTAACATATTACCACAAATTTAGTGGCTTAAAACAACACATTTATTATCTTACGGTTCAGACGGTCAGAAGTTCAAATTGGGTCTCACCGGGCTAAAATCAGAGTGTCAGCGGGTCTGTGCCCCTTCTGGAGGCTCTCGGGAGAATTGGCTTCCTTGCCTTTTCCAGCTTCTGGAGCTGCCTACATTTCTTGGCTCATGGCCCCTTCCATATTCTCAGGATGAAGGTCTTGTCAAGTCTTCGCCCCATCTCATTGTTCTAACAATGACTTCTGCCTCCCTCTCCCACATTTAAAGGACGGTTGTGATTGACTACACGGGACCTCCCTGAGTAATTCAGGATAACCTCTTTATCTGAAGGTCAGCTGATGGCAACCTTAAGACCCTGTGCCACATAACATGGCAAATTCATAGGTTCTGGGGAGTTGTAGGTGAACACCTTTGGGAGACCATTAATCCTGCCAACCCCACATATATCATTGACCCTTGGACAACACAGAATTCAACGCATCGACGCCCCCTCCCCCACCACGCACAGTTAAAAATCCACGTATAACCTTTGACTCCCCCCAAACTCGAACACTTAACTGTTAGCCTCGTGTTGACCTTCCAGAAGCCTTTCTGCTAACGTAAAACTGTTGATTAACACATATTTCACATGCTCTATGATTACATACTGCATTCTTACAATAAAGCTAGAGGAAAGAAAATGTTAAGAAAATCAAAAGGGGGGGCACCCGGGCGGCTCAGTAGGTTAAGCGTCCGACTTCGGCTCAGGTCATGATGTCACAGTCCGTGAGTTCGAGCCCCGCGTCGGGCTCCGTGCTGACAGCTCAGAGCCTGCAGCCTGCTTCAGATTCTGTGTCTCCCTCTCTCTCTCCCCCTCTCCCTCTCGCACTCTGTCTCTCTCTCTCTCAAAAATAAATGAATATCAAAAAAAATTTAAAGAAAATAAAGAGGAAGAGAGAATACACTTACAGCGTTGTGCTGTGTTTATTGACACTGCAATTTTCTGTCGTCTGTTTGTAAGATGAATCATCGGTCAGGACCTATATCAATACATAATACATGATACAAAACACTATAGATGTGCAGATGTTATGCGTATTACTAATGCCACATGTCAAAAATGAAAACAATGTGAAAGAGAAATTCATATTTACTTACAAAATAAAGTTTTTCCAATGCATATATTTTTTCTGATATATTTATGGGGGAAAAGAATCCATGTACAAGTCGACCTGCGTAGTGCAAACCTGTACTGTTCAAGGGGTCAGCTGTACAATCGTTCTGAAGAAAAATGTACCAATTTCTATAAATGTGTGCAAGCCACATGGCCAGAAGACTCTCTCAGTTGCCAGCAGTTTTAAAGTGTTAGGACTTGGATGCTTTTTTCTCCCTGGGGGATCCCCGCAAGCAAGTTCAGAGGAGGTCTATCGACTGCCCTGAGGGTGAACGTTGGCAGACTTGGGCTGTCCTGCTGGGGTGTGCAGAGACCTGGGTCTCCGTGTCCACCGGAAAAGGAGTATCCGGGAAGGAAAAAAGGAGGGACGTTTCGGGGAACCCACCTGGCCTCAATTCTCTCCTCGCCATTCCATAGGCGCCCATATATTCAGACTAGTCTCCAGTCCTCTGTTCCTATTTTTATGTCCGGGTAAGGTCAGATAGAACCGTGCGTGCATGCGTGTCCGCACATGCACGCGGATAGTCTCTCCCATCAGACTGAAAAGTTCCCTGAGGCCGTGACCTTGTTCTTCTTTGCTCCCCATTACCCACCTCCCTCTCTTGGCGCTACACCTGGTGCAGAAGGTATACCGGTTTAATAGTCATAAAGTTGAGATAGCATCCTTGCTTCCCACACCTTGACCTTCAATACTGTCTGTCTTCTTCCTAGATTTATCCAGAGAAGTCCCCAGATTTTTCATAACAAACTCTGGAAACGGTACCCGAGTTCAGAAAGCATACGTCTTACAATCTTCCTACTAGAAGATCTGGGCCTTCCGGGCCCAGAATGAAATACTCCAGCATTTGGAGGTGGGACAGGCTTTGACGGCCCCTGGGGGACACGGTGGCCTCTCATTCTCCTCCCTTGCAGCACGGCCTCTGTTCTTATGTCTGCAAGGCACCCTCTGCTGACCGCCTGGGACCCAGTGGGGCTAAACAACAAAACTCTTATGAGAAAGGTGCCCTGGGTATTAATCACAGCCCTGGTGTTTTAAGATTTTATGCAAATTCCTCACCCTCTCTCAGCCTTATTTTTTCCCTTGGTACAAGCCGACAGCTCATTCTCGTTGTTCCCTCTGTCATATGTCCCAGGGGGTGCTGGAAAAGAAATGTGATGTGGTAGGGAGAGCTATTCTTTGGAGGAGTGGCGCTGGGGAAATTGAGGAGAAGAGGAACTCACATTTATCCAGCTTCTGCTTTGTGGCGGGCACTTTACATAGATTAGTTCGTTTAACACGGCGGTTGAGAACCAGGGCTCTGGAGTCAGAAAGGTTTGGGGCTGAATTCTGGCTCTGACATCTCCTGGCTGTGTTACTTTAACGTTTCCCAGCTCGGTCTCCTCAACTGCAAAATGGGGGGAAATAATACGTAACCCACGGCGCTCTGTGGATGAAATGAGCTGAAGGCAGTAGAGTTTTCGGCTCTCCCCAAGCACCCGACGAGGTTAGATCTTGGTATTAATGACCCTATGAAGTGGGTGTTATTGACCCAGATGTATGGAGGCTCAGAGAGGTTAAGTCAAATGTCCAAGGGCCTGCGGTTAGGGAGGGACTCTAACCCAGCTCTGGCTGATCCCGGCTCCTCTGGACGGTGAGGCACGAGGAGCCTTGGGTTCAGGCCTGCATCTTCCAGGTCGTTGTGCCAGGAGCCTCTGGGGCAGCGCTGGTGGGCTCTCCCCCTTCCCCGGGCTGCCCACGGCCCAGAGGAGGGGGAGAAGGCTGCTGAGCAGACCGCTTTGCCCATGGAACCCTTGGCTCCTGCTCTTTGCCCTGCCACCCCGGGGAATGGGGGGCGGGGGGAGTGGGGCAGAGGGTCCGCCTGTGTCTCCAGTACGCAAGGGCACTACCAACGGATCCCACTCCACTCCAGGGCAAGCTCTGCACACATCGGGAGTGAGCCCAAACTGCCGAGACCCAGGCAGCCTCTCTCCAGGGCGAGGGCAGACGCCCCTCATGGGCGAACGTTTGCTCCTATTGGCTCAACTTGACTTCCAGTTCATCCTAACTGAAACTAACTGGAATGTTCTAGGAGTAACCCATCAAACAGGAGCCCAGGCGGTGAGAGGAAAGAAGAAAAGAAGCCAGCTGCAGGCTGGGTGAAAAAATGGAGTTCAATGGGGCAGGGGTGGAGAGATTGGGGGCGGTTGGGGGGGGGGGGTGTTGGGAGGAGGCTGGCGGATGGTGGCAGACCAGGAGAGCGCAGATGTATGCGAACCGCTGGAGAGCTGGAAACGGGACCTTCTCAAAGCAAGAGGGCTTCACGGGACCGAGATGCTGGCCCTCCATAGGAGAGGGCAAGAGCCGTGCGGCCCGGTGTTCATTCTCCGGAGGGCTGCTCTCCTGTCCCGGGATGGTGGGGAAAGGCCGCCCCACCCTGCTTGGCCCCCCCTTCTCCCCCTCTCCAGCTGTAAGTTCCCCCCAGGAGGGCCCCCCCCTCTGCAGAGCCACAGCCTACCCCCTTTTTCAGGCCCAAGTCAGCCGCACCTCCTGGAGGAAGCGTCCCCTATACCCTCCCACACACAGCTCACACTTCTGATAACATTTATAGTCGAAATCACACAGTTTAGCACTTGGTTTTAAATAACTGTCTGGTATTATTCCCTCGTTATTTCTTGTGAGTGTAAGTTGTGCCTCCCCAGCTGACTGGTAGGTTTCTTTAACAGTAAAGACTGCGTCTTTTGTTTCTTTACATTCTACACCCCCCCCCCCCCCGCCTCCCCGCCCTGGCCCACACCACAGCCCACACTGCTCGGGAGACAGTACCCACGAAAAAGGGACTTAGCGGGTAAGTTCTGATGGACTGACTAGCTTGGCTTCGATGGCTGGACAACTTCCTGACTAGCCACCCAGTGAAATGCTGAAACGGATGGCTGAAACCTCAGGTTTTAAAAGACCGGGTCATGTCACCCCTGCCCTAAACCCTGCAAAGCCTCCCCATCTTGGTCTGAGGAAAGAAGAAACTGTTCGTTCCACCCCCAGGGCTCTCCGAGGTCTGGCCTCCTAATGTCGCCCAAACCCACCAGACACGGCCCTGCCTCTGAGCCCCGCACCTGCTGTTCCCTCTGCCTGGCGTGACCTTCCCATCTTGCTTCCACTTCCTCTTTACTCACATTCTCAGCAAGGTCACCTCGGGCCCGCGCTGTACAAAATTACGAACTCTCCTCTTCCTAACACAGACTCTCCTACCCCGCCTCCTTCCTTCTTTCCTTCCTCCCTCCCTTCCTTCCTTCCTTCCTTCCTTTTTTCAGCACTTGCCACTCTCAAACATACAATTCTTTTTACCATATTCCCCAGACCATAAAGTATAAGCTCCTCAAGGGCAGAGATCCCTGGTTGCTCACTGTTGCCTGTACTGCCAGTGCCTGGGATAACTACTTGCTGAAGGAAGAGACCCCAGTCCCACCCTGCGTCTGAGATGGCTCAGGCACAGTTGTGCTCAGAGATGGACGACGGGCAGGAAAATTCTGGGTGTCCCCTCTTGAAGTGGGATTCCAGCATTCCACTCCTGGACTAACTCTGGGGAAGCACCTTCTGAAGTTCAGAGGCCTGAAGCTGTGTGAGCCACCTTCATCCCACCGGGAGGTCTGTCCGGAAGTAGAAGATGGGTCAGGGGCTGCCAGGCAAGGTCAAGTGCCTCCCCTCCCTTTATGCACAGCTTTTAAATTTCTAGCTTGCCCACCAGCTGCCCCTCTGGGGTCTCTCTCTCCCGGACATCCCACCTCTGCCCCCCCAGGCCAAAGACAGACGCTTCATCACTTGCCTTTGAATGTTCACTTTGAGAGCACTTTATAGAGGAACATAACCTTTCCTGCTTTCTTCTCTCTTCCCCTCTTTTCTTTAAAAAAGAAAGGGTCAGGTAAGACAGACCCACTTTTCCTGGGGGACCAATGCTGGCTGTCTAACACTGTTGCCCCTCCTTACGTGTGTTTTTTTTTCCTGAAGGATCCGCCTTGTGAGATGTTTGTAAAGATGAATGATTGTACTTGTTCCTCCCAAGACACATGAGCCTCCCTACTTAGAGGCACCCCGCTGGTATTTCCAAACCATCCCCACCTAATCTGGGGTCTGCATCCCACCCTCACATCTCCCAGAAGTCACCCTCATATTGGTTCCCACTCCTGTGGGCGTGAGGACTGGCTGTTAGGGTCCCCCTTCCCTAAGGCCACTGGCTCTGTGTGGCCTGGAGGCACTTAGCTGAAACAAAGAGAACCAATGTTGGCTCTCAAAGAGCTGTGACCTACAGAGGCAAAAAAAGAGAAGACCCTCTCTGAAGGTCCCCCAAAGGGGACAGGCAGTTCCTAGCTTGGACAGGATTTGGGAGCTTCTCACCCTAGGGAGGGAGGGGAATGGGCTAGATGCCCCCTGAGAACCTTCCAGGACCAAAGGGCACTGGATTCTGAGAGTGGATAAGGGGCAGGAGCCCTCGGGTCAGAGAGAACTCCTTTGTTTTATCTAGCTCTTTGTCCTTGAGCAAGTTACTGAACCTGAGTCTTGGTTTCCTTGAGTTTAAACTAGAGACAGGCGTGCCTGGGTGGCTCCGTCGGTTGAGCGTCTGACTTCAGCTCAGGTCGTGACCTTGTGTTTGGTGAGTTCGAGCCCCTCATAGGGCTTGCTACTGTCAGGGCAGAGCCTGCTTTGGATCCTCTGTCCCCAACCCCCCCCCCCCCCGCCCCTCCCTCCTCTCAAAAATAAAGAAACATTTAAAAAGTAAATAAATAAATAGAGACAATAAAAGAACCTACCTAATGGGGGTGTTTTGGAGGATTTAGTAGGATAACGTAGGTAAAGCCCTTGGCACGGTGCCTGGCACACAGTAAGTGCTCAAGAAATGCTGGCTGCTGTCCTTGGTGCCATTCCAGTATGACAGGTAGAGGCTGGGAAACAGTCGTCACCCCAGGAGCCCTCTGCCTTCTCTGCTCTTCATCTCAGGACGCCAAGTCCATCGAATGCTGATCAGCAGGGAAAGTGTGGGTGGAAGAAATGTACAGAGAGCAACAGAATTCTAAACCAAACCTGGTTCAGCTCACCCGCTAAAAGGCAGCTCCCTCAGGCCATCTGAACATCTGACGGACCATGGTCCTGAGACCAGTCCCAGCAGGGATGTGCCAGATCCCTTGCCCAAAGGCCAACAGTTCTAGGCTGAAACGTGTGGGGCTGTTCTGGGCAACCTGCCAGCTTGGGAGCTCAGCTCTGAGCCCTGGAAACAAAGAGGCTAAGGAGGGACACGTCCAAGGTGTTCCTGTTGTCCATAGGAGGCAACACGCATACAGCACGACACCTTTTCATACCCAACTCCGGGGTCCCAGATGCCCTCGGCACCACGCTCCCCAGACCCACCACCTGTGCCTGGTGGACTCAAGCCTTGCCCCAAATGTCACGTCCTCTGAGAACCATTTCCTGACCTGTGGGCAGAGACGGCCACCGCTTTAACTGCCCGTCCCTGTGTTATAGCACTGGCATCATTATTGCTAGGACTGACCGCCCACTTCAGCACACAGCACTTCCTGTGCCCCGCCCTGTTCTGACCCGTTACATGTATCAACTCATTTAATCACCATGACAACTCTATGAAGTAGGTGCTATGATTATCCTGTTTATATATGAGAAAACCGAGGCGCAGAGAGGTTAGATGACATGCCCAGTGTCACCCAGCTAGAAGCGGGGGAGCCTGGATTTGAGCCCCAGCCGGGCGGCTCCAGACTCCACAGTCTTCCTGTGAATTCCTGGAAGGCGGGGGTGACATCTAATTAGTCTCCGTCCCTAGCACCCAGCGCAGGTACGTGGTAGGCGCTTAGAAAAGATGGGCTGACTGCATAAGCAAATGCCTGCTTCAGGCTAAGCTGGTGAATATTCCAGCCTCTGAGCTGCAGGACAGAGAAAGCGAGCCCCTCAGGGAAGTGTAAGATAAAGGTACGCCACCCCCCCCCCCCATTCTCCTTCTCTTAGCATTCCCACCGCAGCCTTGTCTGTCCTGTCTGCTTCTGTCTTATCGTTTGCCTTCTGTTTTTCTGTTTCTCAGTTTATCTTCTGCCTTTGTGCTTCTCCTCTTTTGTTCCTTGGTCACTCTCTCCCTGTCCTGCCCCATCCAGCCCCCACTCACTGTTCTTCCCAGTAGCTCTTGCATGCTTCAAAGCCACCTCCCCCCATTCTTGGCGTTGGAGCGCTTATGGAGCCCAGGCTTGCCCAACGAGGCTGAGAGCCCAGTGATATTGACTCATTACACTGGCTGTGGACCAAGCCTCTACACTTTGACCCTAAATGAAAACAGCAACTTCCCATCAATTCTACCTGGATGCAGAGTGGGGGTGCGGGTTGGGGGGGGTGGTTAGTTGCCTACCTACAGCTAGTCACGGATCTGTATGGGACAAGGAAGATCCACTGCTCTCCTTGCCTCCTCGCTCAGGGTCCCAACTCCTCCAAACAGTCTCGCCTGATCACTTGGGACAGTTTATTCATGCAACCATTCAGCGAATCCTTATATATTCCAATACTCTTACTGAGAAGAGGAGGCGTGCTTCTGAAAAACTTCGTTACGATGTAACTTCGGATAACTGTGCAAGTGACCGGATGTCACAGACATCATAAAGACCAAAGGAACTGCAGACAATCAGTGATTTTAAAAGAGACCTATATGACCTGGGGCCA